TGCTCCCAGCGCCGCACTCTCCTGAGAGGGCCAGGGGGTCGGCCTGAAACTAAATATTCTTTAGTATCTTTTGTCTCATTATTTAGGGTTAAGGGAGGAAATTAAGCAAAATTTACTTTAAAGAATTTTGGCTAATATTTTTGAAGCCATTATCTGAAATTTCATAAGCATGAAATGTTACTCTGTGATGTCTCTGTTCATTTGAAGACTTCTTTGCACATTTACAGTGAATTCAAATTACTGGGAACCTTAACCTTGCTGTTGGATATCCCTGGATTGATTGCATTTGAGTGTCCTTTTATTTAGGCTCATTTCCTCCTTGCATTCCTCACCTTTCATAAGAATGCAGTACTGCTACTAGAACCTGACATACTGTTAAATACTTGGTTTTACACCCTGAACTAATTGACATTCAATATTTATCTCAAGAGCCAAATTAAAAATGTGTGCATCAGTCAACCTCATGGCAATGTAAAAGTATTGTAATACATCTATCAGGGTCAATTTGATTACAATTTCAAAAAGTAACTCACTTCAGGGTGAAGAAGAGATGGGGACATGGGGGTGATGAGAAAACTTGTCTGTCATGGTAATCTAGAAAGAAATAACTAGGTGTCCTAAGCTTGGTGGGGGAGGAGAGATGTGGATTTGAGAAAAATGCAGGTGAAAGAAATGGCAATACTGGTTATCAATTGAATGTTGTGAATTTGTGGGAAAGGAGAGATGACAGAAGTTACAGATTTCTGACCTTATCAGGTGGCCATTCACCAAGAGGACACATCAGCAGGAAAAAAAAAAAAAATGGAAAAGACAATGAATTCAGTTCTGAATGTGTTGAGTTTGAGGTGGGAATGTGTGAAAGGATTTTTGATACATGGGCATTGAGTAGAACTTTGAACAATGAACAGAGAGATGGTGGCTGAAGTGTTGGGAGTAAGTGGGATGGCCCTGGGTTGGGGTATAGAATGAAGCAAGGAGGGCTTGGAGGATTGGCACCAGGGAGGGCAGACAGAGAAGGTGAAACTGCACAGGAATCTGAGAAGGAAGGGAGCTGGGAAAGTTTTCTTTGTGTAAGTGCACAGCAGACAGTCTTTGAACAAGGGTATTGCCAACCATGTCACATTCTGCCAAGCATGTGAGTAAGGGCAGGGCTGAATATCGAGAATCGGAAAGTCTGGAGATTGTTGGCATCAGAAGATGGTGGAGGAATGATTGAGAAGGGCGTATGTGAAAAAGATGAATGCAGTGGCTTTTTTTTTTTTCTTTTCCTTTTTTGTCTTTTTTTTCGTGTCCGGCAACGGATCGCAACCCTCAGTGTCGCGCCCGTACCGGACTGGGACCGGCAACGGGATCGCAACCTCTCCTCGCCGTGTTGCGCCCACACCTCGCTCAGCCAGTGAGTGGGAACCGGTCTGTATGTGGGATCCGAACCTCCTCGCGGTGTTGCGCCCACACCTCGCTCAGCCAGTGAGTGGGAACCGGTCTGTGTGTGGGATCCGAACCCTCGGCGGGAAATGGGTGGCAATAGGGCAGAACAGATGACGCTAGGCTTTTGGTCACAGAGAGAAAGGGCTTTCTTTTTTCTTTTTTTTTTCCTTTTTGTCTTTTTTACTGACCAGAAACGGGATCGCAACCCTCCGTATTGCGCCCACACCGCGCTCAGCCAGTGAGCGGGAACCGGTCTCCACATGGGATCCAAACCCTCAGCGGGAGAGCTGCTGCACTCCCAAGCGGCGCACTGTAGCAGTGCGCCACCAGGCTGGCCCAATGCAGCGGCTTTTTAAGGCACTTGGTAGTAAGAGGAAACAGAGCTGTAGCAAAAGCTCCAAGATTGGAGAAAAAGAGGATCTTCAACATTTGATCCCTCACACTGCCTCTTCCCTAACCAGAATGGAAAGTATCAAGAAATTCAATGTTAAATGGGGAGAAACCAACAGAACTTGACAATATGGGAGAGGAACAATTCTTAGAATGAGTTGGCCAAGTACCCTGAAGCTATCCAATCCTGGGCACAAGTGAAGTGATTAGCCTTTGACTCTAGGAGAGGTATTTGAGTTCTTAAACAAGAGTATAGAAGGGATGATTTGTGTGGATGCAGGCAGATTTGTAGATTTTGTTATGGAAAGTTGGAGGACTTTACTATGCATAGCTTCTAGTTTTAAATGAAAAAAGCTGCAAGGTCATTTTTTTGAGTCATGGGAGAAATGGTGGGATTGGTTTTCAGGGGAGATTGATTTATGCTAGATTTTAATAATATTGGCATACACATTCAACATGTTATCTCACAAAGACCAGAACTTTGAAGTCGGTATTAACTGTTTAATCCATTTAGATCATTTTGAAGAATGAAATATGAGGCAAACTGAAAATAACAGGGTGTGTTAGATTATATTTTATGCCCTTTTGAAATGAATTTTCCTTTTCCTACCATATCTGAAAAGAAAACATTTTTATTTATATCTTACACAATATTTTTGTTTCTTAGACATCTTGAGATTTTCCATTCCATGCTTATCTGTATGTAGAATACATATTTATATATAATGTTGTTAATTATCCAGAAGCAAATTATGGCAGATATTTCTGAAGTCAGAGACATGACAAGTTGCCTAGTTTAAATTTTCATAAATATTGCAGTGTGAAAAGAGGGTTTTTAATGAATAATTCTGGAGTTATATTATGGTGCAACATCTGGAGGAAAAAAAAAAACCTTACAAGAGAACATACTAAACAAATATTAAATAAAAGGACATGAACTTGGAAAATGCTTTCTAATGCTGACTCATTTTCTTCACCAGGTACCTCCTATTTCTGTCACTTTCAATTTAACTAATGTGATATATCATTTGTGGATGACATTCATAAATTGCCAAATTAATCATCTCTAGTGTCTACAGGTCTACTGCTTTCAACCTTTAACAGCTAAATAGATTTTAGTCACAACTCTATTAATTTAAACCTAAAATTGAAGAGGTATGTGGCAAAATTAAGGTTATTTTGAGTCCAAAGTATACTTTTATTTATTTATTTTTTTCCCCTTTTTGTCTTTTTTTTTTTTCGTGACCGGTAACGGGATCGCAACCCTCGGTGTCGCACCCGCACCGCGCTCAACCAGTGAGCGGACCCGTCTCTATATGGGATCTGAACCCTCGGCGGGAGTGCCAGTGTGCTCCCAAGTGCCGTACTCTACCGAGTGCGCCACCGGGCCGGCCCCAAAGTATACTTTTAAAATGGTCAAAATATACTTAACTTTTAGAAAGAGAAAAAAAACTGATCTGTTAATCAGTTTTCTTTGTTATATTGTTTTAATTGTTTTAGTGGTACAATATTTTATTTATTATTTTAAATTATTATTAGTATTATCTTTTGCTCTTGCATGGCTGGAATGTACAGGGAACAGTGAGAAAGCCAGAGTACCTGGAGCAGAATAAGAGCCAGAAGTAGGATATGGAGGCTGAGAGGTTATAGGATAAAGAAGGTAATGAGGACTCCTCTGAATGGATTGGGAAGGTACTGAAGGGATTCGAGTGAATCCTCTCTGCAGAAACAGGGAGGATGGAGACTGTTAAACTTACTGAAGTGTGAGGTCATGGTGGTTTTCAACCAGGATAGTAGTGGTAGAGGTAGAGAGAAGTGATTAGATCTATTATATATTGTGAAAAGAAGCTGAATTGATTTGCTTTTAGTTTGGCTGTGGCATGTGAGAGAAATAAGGGAGTTAATGTATCCAGTATGTTTTGTCTGATCAAAGGAAAGGATGGAGTTGATACTTATCAGAGAAACAGGGTTGGGAGAGAAGTTCTGAATTCGGCTCTCCAATGTGTTGAGTTCAGGATGCCTATAGCGGCGATAAGTAGGAAGCTAAATATGAGCAGCCAAAGTTCAGAGGAGAACTCAGGCTGGAGAGGGACATTGGCAGATTGTCAGCATTTTGGTGAGTAGTAAATGCGTGGGTAACATGTGACCTGTCCAAGGCCTAAAGAAAGTAGGCATGAGGACTAAACTTCAGGACACTCCAACATTCAACTCTGTCTTCCAACTTTTCTAGTAAAGTTTTCTTAAGACACATTTTTTTTTTCAAATTTCTTAAAGGACTTTCCTTTATTATTCTTTAGAATTTTGAAATTACTCTGTCCTTCATTTATGAGTGCAATATTTCATTTTTTTCCCCTGAAGATAGTAATTATTATTTTGTAAACAGTGTTCTCCTTCATACCTAATGTTATGCCATTTTTTCCCATTTTTCTACCCTACTGAACATTCTGTTTTTAATCTTAGCCTTGGCAATTCCTCTTTTTTATCTTTCATGCTCTTGGATTCTTCATATGGTCCTGAGATCCTTGATTTTTCACTCACAGTAATGAATGAAAATGTAATTATTTAAGTGTTTGATGTGGATTTCTTTTGCTATTGTTTATGAAAGTTTGCTTTCCTGCCTTCTCTATCTTTTGAGTGGTAAGTTTCTTTGAATTTTATGTTGACAATGGAGGGTTTATTGATTGATGTCTTTCTTTGTGGATTAATGACCAAGATCGCAGAAAGCAAGCTAGGGGCATTCAGTGACAAGAATGAGTTGGATTTTCCTTTGGTGAAACCAAACCAAAACCAGATGCTTTCATTTTGCTCTTGCAATTTACTGTCTACTTTAGCAACGTGACTTTTATTTTATTTTGGCCTGGGATTAATGTCACAGTGCTGATTTAATTTACATGATAGTAAAGTGTACATGCATAGACAGACTTTCAAAGAACTCTGTGGTATCATCTCTTCCTTTTCTTGCTTTCCTGTGCTCTCTCCATGGTACCAACTCTGAACCTCTGTAAATTTTTAGGAAATCAGCTCCTACCCGATACTGTAGTCCATTTCTAATATGTTTGGGCTATGGCGTAATCTGCTGTTTCTTTTGCTTTCTCTTTCTATCAGCTTGTTGCCTTTCAGAGAATTATTTCAGTGGTCTTTAGCTTTATAATTATAGATTCAGTATTGGTTTAGCACTTGTGATGAATTCGGTAAGAACATTCTTAAAATTTCCTTCCTCCAATTACTAGCTTTGTGAATTTAGGAAAGTTGCTTAAATCTCTTAAAAATATGGTTCAATTTTCTGTATACTAGGGATAATAATAATAATAATACCTAACACACAGGATTACTGTTAACATTAACTAAACCAAATTCATATGAAGTTTAGTTCCTGGAGACTAGTACATGCTTAATATTACTATTAACAATAACAATGTTATGAGTAATATTATTTTTCATTTTTAAAGTGGTGCTATAATATTAGATTTTAAATTTGAATTTATCATAATATTATATACAAATTATAAAATATAAATGATGAAAACATTTACCTACATAATTTTAGGAAAAATATAAGTTAAAACAAAATGGCATATGTGTGTATATTTACACATTTTATATATTTATCACATTTTATGGTTCTGATAAAAACTTCAAATTGTAAGAACAGCTGTGGGGGAAAAAATCACAATTTGCATTTCTAAATGTTTTCTCACCTTCCTGTTTTGCTGCAGTGGTTTCCTATGGGAATTTATTGGCATCTTTTATAGATGTTATACATGTATTTACCAAACCAAGCATTGTATCACAATTTGCATTTCTAAATGTTTTCTCACCTTCCTGTTTTGCTGCAGTGGTTTCCCATGGGAATTTATTGGCATCTTTTATAGATGTTATACATGTATTTACCAAACCAAGCATTGTATATGTTTTTCTTCTATTGTCCAGGTTTGTTTCTGTTACAATCGATATGCTATTTATACTTTAGAGGAAATAGACATAAGTAGCACTACAAAGAGTACTAAGGTACTAATATTTAGGATGAAAAGAACAAGAGTTTAGATTAGTTTAGAAGCCAGTTGGTCAGTTGTTTAGGATGTCTGTGGAGGTAACAGTGTTTTGTCCATTTACCAATTGACATATTGGGATTTATGGATATTTGCTGATTTTTTTCTAACAAGTTAGGGGTTTTTAAACTACAAGTATCATACTAAATGGTTCAATCACAATAATTACAACAGCAACAAAACCTGCCAGAATCCACACACACACACAAAGAAGACCTAAAGCAAAATAAAAGACAAATATGGATTATCCTGGAACTAGCCTTTGCAGCATCATGTGATTACAGTTTTAACTTTTTATTTTTTTTCTAGCTTAACATTCCTCATGGTCATGAAAATGAAATGAAAAGAATATCAGGAGATGTAAAGGAAGAATTCACATCTCAAAACAGCCCAGACAGAGTGATCTGTGAGTTAAGAACAGAGGTAAGATATTGGATAAAGTGTGCAATACATAATAACATATCTGATGGCTATTAAATTATATAATAGTTAAATAGTATAACTAAGGTGCCTTTGGTTACTTAATGAGGGTGGATGCTATTGATAATGTAATCAATTTATATGATTTAAAATGCTGTGGAATGATATTGGCTCATAACTAGATCTGAATTATTCGAATATCGCAAAGATAAAATATCTGGCTATAAAACCACCCTATAGCCAGTACAAGTCTTTCTGCAAGTAAATATTCATTAAAAGTTCAATCAGCTGCTGGATAAGATATGTTAATTTATTTTCAGAACCAATGACATATTAGATACGTAGCATGCAGTTTCTGGTAGAATTAACACTGCTTTTGGCAGCTACAACAGTGAAAAAGAAGATAAATTCATTTTTGTGATGGTTAATTCATTTCTTAGGTATGTCAAGTAGAATAGTGGAAACATTTATTTTCTACACCTACCACCACCACCAACAAAAGAATTTTCACAGATTTGTAAACTCTCAGTGTTTCCTGTCTGGTAGACAAAGGAGGAATTATTGTCCTTAGAGCTAGGAGGAGGGGTCAAATTACTTGTACTTCATAGAAAATTGTGTTACTGCAATAAAAATAGAAAACTACAAATTATTTCATAACTGCTAATTCTGGAAGAGTGTCTTGGTTACAAATATGTAGAAGCAATTTAGAAAATGGAGTGAAGTTAGTAAAAATATAGGCAGGGAGGTAGGTGAGTTGTATTAGACATATTCTTCTTTATAAAACTGCAATAACTGAACTCCAGAGAATGTTTTGTATCAGATGAACACAGTGTGTCAGGACGTGCATGGATTTGGAACCAGAATTAGCTACATCGCTTACTGATTACTTTATTCTGGAGAACACCTTACGCCTCTCTGAATCTCAGGTTATAGATAGAAATAATAGTAATTGTAACAATTGCCATTACACAGAACTTTTGTAAAGATGCCATAAATCCAGGGAATGTTTGTCCAAGGCAGAGTGCTCTAATGTTGGGAATTACAGCCAAGCTGTTCAGGAGATGAGCTCTTCCTGTGCTGCTGCTCATTGAATCAGTGTCAGCCGTCAGCTCCTCTTCCCTCCACAAGTCACCTGAAGGGGTGCGGGGGTGAGGGGTGCATATCAAGAGATCTACCAAATGAATACGACCTCAAGAGCATGGGCAACCAAAGGAAAAATAAACAAATGGGATTATATCAAACTAAAAAGCTT